ATATACAGGGTGTAACATAAGTACGTTAAAATATTCAAGTGACGTATTCCTGAGACAATTTTAAGAAAAAAAGTCTATATAAACTTGTGTCCGAAAATACTCCGTTTCGGAGATACGGGGTGTTGAAATTTAATTTTTTTGTTCGCTTTTTGAAAATAACTTTTGCATAAAATAAGTTATTTGCACGAAATTCGGAGTTTTTTGACGTGGGAAATCATAATTTCGTATTAATTTTCATGTAACATCTAGAGGGCGCTGCGTACGCTGTCATTATTTATTTCAAAGTGCCCTAACTTTTTTGACAGTAAACTTTTGGTATTTTTCATGAAAAAAACAAATTCCCACACCTATTCCAAGTAAAAAAGGAACACTTCCTCAACAACGCTGGAAGTGATCGTTTTCGAGATAGTTACAATTTTCTTTATCAATATTACTTTGTAGCCAAATTTGATTTCAATAATTTTCGTCACTCTCCGCTTGCAAATTAAGTTAATTATATCGAGTAGGCTATGAAAGTTACTTACTAAATCTACTTACCTATCAAATCTGCAATATTGAAGAAAGCCATCATCAGTATCGGCATCCATGATCCCAGATGGCAACTGATGACCTCAGAAGCCACACCGGGATAAAGACAAAGGGTTGCGAAATATACCAAGCAGATTGATATCATGTAGGGATAAATCGCTTTTGTGACTTCCCATCTAGCTTGTAGTCCTCCTACAAAAATTCAGTTTTCACTTGAAAAATACACCGTACTCGACTTGCTCAGAATAACTAGAATTTACTATTTTTACGAAGACAATGACAGGGTGTCATTGCCGTCGAAGAGATTATCTGTTTTTTAAAGAATGTAAACTTTTACGGCGGAAGATAAATATATGGAAGCTATTTTCCGGGTTTTTTGGCCGTGGTCTGTAAGTTTTTATGCTTGACCTTTCGTCCATTACTGCGGTACTGACCAAACTCGATGAGGTGATGGTCAACGTTACCTAATGCCTGACGAAGCATCAATATCCGCGGACCACGGCCAAAAAACCCAGAAAATAGCTTTGACACTCTGATTTTAATAACCAGAATTTCAGAAATTCCGTTTTCTACAGAAAGAAACGAACTGATAGCTAAAATAAATGTTTTTATTGGAATCATCATCGTAAACGATGATGTCAACCATTTCTTCACTGAAATGTTAATATTTCATGGAACTTCAATATTGACCTGGTTGAAACAATAACTTAAATGATTGAAATAGAATGACGAATAGTGCGAAACAATGAGATTAAAGAATATATAAGAGAATAAATATAGTTTAATAAACTAAAAAACACGCTTTTAAAGAACATCGAACATGAAAGTTAAAAATATATTTTTTTTAAATAAGCTTAAAACAATAACGAACGAAAA